TCCTGATGATGACATAATTAATGTCGAAATATTGAATCCCAACACGATGGCGTGTATTTCAATACTTGGAGTATGTATTATACTTTCTTATCTGAGATTAATCAGTGGACCTTTCGGTTTCTGATTAAACAAATTCCCAATTTTACGAATGTAAAATCGTAAAAAGTGAAGTGAAAAATTAATTAATTAAAAAAGAAAAAAAATCTGCTCAAATTGTAACTGTTATTGGTATGCATACAACATACCATACTATACAGTACTATGTAATTCTCAAGTGAAGGAGGCCCTCCCTCTTCAATTTCAGTATTTACTATGGCTTTAAACATGTGTGCCGTACTCGCGCGAATAAGCACCCCGTTTGAATAAGCGCCCCTCTCGAATTACCGCCCCTCCTAACGTGAAAATTTCCTTAAGCACCCCGTTTGAATAAGCGCCCCCTTCTAATTTGAATAAGCGCCCCTCATAAGATTTTCTTTTTAGCAAGTCAATAATCCAATCAATACTGGGACTGTGGTTGTTGGGATGATTTGAGCTGTAGAGTGGAAACACATTCTTCTTCAGTCAATATCAAAATGAGGATACTTCTCTTGCACATTCCCATCTAGTTTTCAAGAAAAAATACAATGATCCTGCCATCCTGCTAATCTCAATCGTCCGATGGCCAACAAGCTAACCACTAGCATCTGCTATTTTGCTGTTATGTAAATACAGTATTCACGCATTCTTGTAATGAGCCATTTTCTCTGCACGATTATATTTTCTAACCACCATGCGTGATGGCCTAATATAATCTTTTTCATTCAAAAAGTGCCTCTTGAATTTAAAAATTTTCCATAAGAACCCCTCGATTTTCATCTATTTCCATAAGCGCCCCCTCAATTTCCATTCTGTTTTCATAAGCGCCCCGTTTGAATAAGCACCCCTCAGAAAGTGAAAAAAATATTTTAAGCCATATTTCCAACATAGACTCTACAGTAGTTCCGTGCTAACGTTTGTATTTGGCTGCCCCCTTGAGGGAGAGGTATAGCGGCTTAGATTGCCAGCATCTATTTGCGGGCGATCAGAGGTGCCAAAAAAGTTGTTCACCAACCAAGGTGGGGCTGAAGTGGATGCTCTCAGACCTCACTAAACCAAGTTTTCCTCACAACACAAAGAATATTGGGCAAGCCGGCCCTGATTACTTGCAACAGCTAATGTAGAGCTTGATAAATATTTTTTTTATTAATGGTTCTTTCTGAAATTTACAAGAATTTGTAATTAAAATGTACCAGCAGTATGTTATTCAAAACTCTACGGTACTATTAACGTTTAGTAGGCCCATTTCCATAGCATATTGTATCCTGTAACAAGGTGGGGCCTAGGCTAGACCTGATGAGACTATGAGATTTAAATAATATTTATTTAGGTAGTGACTAAATCCTTTAATAATTGCAATTTTTATTCTTATTTTTTTCTCATTGTACGTGTCCCACACACACCTGGCCTATCTTTTATTATTGCAAATTTCGATCACTTAAAACATCGGAAAATTGCTGTGTATCTCCCAGAAAATACATTATGTTGAATCATAAGTTAATATCAGTATCAGTTAATATGAAGTTGAAATGTTATGTTTTAAGATAATTGCTGAAAGAAAACTGTGCGCACAGTTAGAAACAACTTGGAAAGAACACAGCAGCTCAAAATGTGCAAAAGTAACAAACTGTGCACAACAAATATACAGTATACACTACTGCCATGGATTTAACTAACATTTTGATACACAACAGTCAGGTATGCACTACTGTACTTATGGCGTTCAAAATAGCATATTTGGCTAAAATCGGATTAAACATTTTCGTTGACACACTCCCTCATCTAATTGCCTTTCTAGGTGAGGTGAGAACATTTTAAAAATTAGCACTGCTAGATTCTCGGAAATGGCACTCTCAGACTTTCTTTGCAATTAATTTTTCTAAATATAATGAAATTTACATCAATTCTAAATTACAGTATTCTACGTGCTACAGAGGTCCAAATTATGCCAAAAAACATAATTATGCTATGCATGGCCACTACGTTTATAGTGACATATTACTTCAAAAATATAGAAATTAATGAATTCAGAATCACAGTTGTCATGTTTCAGAGTAGAAATATCTTGTTATCATTTATTTTGTTAGAAATTATTGTTATTTTCTAGATCAGTTAATTGTAAAATTCTCTGATTGTTCTCAGTTGCAGCCCAGCTGAAGTTTTGAGCTGAGTATATCCACTGTTGAAGTGAAAACAAAAGAATTGGATAAGTATGACAGATTGCAGTGATTTAGACAGGCAAGTAACACAATTCAATCTATGAATATAAGATTTACGATAATTTGTTAAACTAAATGTTTTTTAAATATTACTTGCATTAAATTTTATTCAAAGCTACAGTACCATGTGCCATGAAGGACCAATAACTGCTTCAATTGTTTTTGAAGGCTTAATTTATCAATTATTTATTTATTTATTTTCTATTTGTTTATTTATTTACTTTATTCATTTATTTATATTTATTTAACTTATAATAAATAAAAAATATTCTGATTAATATAGGCTCTTTAATATAAGATATAATATAATTTAATTTCTTTTAAATTCTTGGTCCTACCTTTTTTTACGGCGCCTTGAGACGATTTTGTTGTGGAAGGCGCACTACAAATATCCCACCATTACCATCACCATTATTGTAAATGAACAATTCAAAGTTTTAATAAATTTCTTCAGGTTTTTAGATTTTTACAGTATATTAAATTTCTAAGATAAAGCCCAGAAGACCCAGTAGCTGTTGTAAACTCAATATGCAATTATTACTCACTATTAAAATGAAATATTTTGGTTAACCTTGTGCCTTTCGACATTATTTCTAACTGGAAGGTGAAAAAAAGGATCCCAAGATCCAAAAATCATTGTTTTTAATAAAAATTTTATACAGGCAAATAGAACAGCTAAGAAGATGTGAAATTATTAAAGAAAGTGAGGTGAAGGCACTTTGTGCTAAAGCCAGGTAAGCCATACTCTTTCAATTTAAATATAAAGCAAATTTTCAATATATTTTTTTAATGTATTTAAGAACAAAATATCAAGTATTGACTTGTCATGGTCCAAGATACCAGTACATATTAATTTACGTGATAATAATTTGGAATTGATAAACACCTTCTACTAGTGATGAATAGAAAAGCTCATATTTATTTACCACTCATTGAGGTGTTACCCTGTAATTTATAGTGCTTTCTGGTTTTTGTTTATTACTACCTCCTTCAAAGAAGGTTATTTATTCAGTACTGTTTGTCTCTCAGTCTGGCCTGTCTGTTAGGAAGATTACACAAAAACTATGGAATTGGTCATTAAAATTAGTGGAATAAAAATCTAAGACAGACATTATTACTGTGAATTTTTGGAAGAAAAGGTCATGGAAATTTGATTTTTTATTCTCTAACATAAAAGAAAATAATGGAATCGCCCATAACTATCCTAGATTCAGACACGGGAAATATTTACTCACAGAGGGTGTGTTACACCATGATGATATTCATATTTTTCCCTTCGTTTTATACATCTGTTTACATGTATTAAACAAACAAGGAAATGTTGCAATATTATTGCTTTGGTACCTTCATAAAATCTCTTCACCTGTTAAAAAAAGGGAATGCCCACGCATCATGTTTTGTTTAGCTCCTTAGGGAAACATTATTTGGCATACCAAAATGTTGCAGCAGATTGTTATTTCCAACTGAAACAAACATTTGTTGATCAAGAGAATTTTGCACCACATGTCCTTATCCCATCCTTTTATAAATCTTTTTTATGTTTCGTTCTCAGATAAATGTTAGACAAAGACAGCAAATGTTGAACCGCATAAAATGTTGCCTATGTTGCATTTTATCATCAATTTTATAAGCTTTTTTTCTGTGTAGTCAAAGAAGTGAATGTTATGCAATTTGGTTTGGCACCTTTATTCATGAATATGGATCTTATCCTTTTGTATAGTCAAAAGAATTGGACGTTGCACTATTTTGATAAAGTACTTCTCTTTGTAACTCTTTCTTTTTACTTCTTTAGGGAAATACTAGTGGAAGAAGGGAATGTACAGAGAGTAGACTCACCCGTCACAGTTTGTGGTGACATTCATGGCCAGTTTTATGACCTAAAGGAACTGTTTAAAGTATGTTGAGTTTTCACATTCTCCATATTCAATAAAGATTATGTTGAAGTATTCTTAGCTATTAATTTTATCTCTTTCAAGTGTAATCAGTGGTCCTTCTAGTTACATGCCAGTCATGTCTGATTTTGTTAATTGCTAGTAATTTTTTAATTAAGATTAAAACCAGAATATATTCTGGGTCTATAATTTTTCCATAGACCCTTAAATTGGCTGATAATGAATTTAAGAATTTTTGTAACCAAAATAATTGAATAATTCTACTGTATGTTTATACATTTTTAGGTGGTTTCAAGATTTATTTACCCAAATAGTATATCTTTAACAGTATATATTAAAGATTTACTTTTTTTGAGGAGTAAGAGCAGTTTTCTGTTTTAGTGTATACCTAGTCCTTGCTCCTGGCAAGATTGTACTTTAATTTGCCAAATAAATATTATCATTATTGCTGTCTACCAAAAAAAGTAAAGAAAACCTCTAAAATTTAATGACATTTTGGGAAAGATAATGTTATGGTTTCGAAAACAACCACCCACTGTTAACGTGAGAAATACATGGCAAGGAAAGGCAATACGATTGTTCAAAATAGTGTTTGTTTACTTATTCTAGTGTTCTCCTTGCATTATATGCTTTGAAATGTATGTGACACTTCGTAATCCTTAGTTAGCCTAGAAATCATAGCGTAGTCCGCAGGTCGAAGACCCTCATGCATACCTAAACAGGCCGTAGATATGCAGGGGCCTAGGCCTAACATTTGTCGAAAAATTTCAAATTCCCTTGGACGACAAGTCAAAAAGTTTCAGTGGTGAATTTTGGGACATCAACAATAGACTTAGAGTAACTTAAATTGCATTCAAAAGGACAAGTACTGCAATAACACGGGACAGCTACCATAGTAAACTCCACTGTGCCACTCCATTGTTTAGAGTACATCCAATACCCAAGTTAGGTCACGTGACGACCATCGCCGAATTCCTCTATTAGTTTTTAAAAACATTTTACTACAAAAGCCAAACCTTAAATTCATTACTAATTAAAGGACAATGTTAATTAACAAGCTAACTGTAAAAAGTCAAGTAAATATAATCAGTAAAATATTCAAATCAGTAAATTAATCAGGTATGCCTACAACAATTGCAAACCCTAATCAATTATTGTTGAGTCTTACAGGCAAGCATCAGAATGTGTAAAGTACTGTATGTCTTGCATGAGACATGAAAATAGTTGATAACACTATTGATGGTTTTTCTTCATCTTCTGTTTACAGGTTGGAGGTGATGTGCCTGACACGAATTATCTTTTTTTAGGAGATTTTGTTGACAGAGGATTTTACAGTGTAGAGACATTTTTATTGTTATTAGCACTCAAGGTAGGATTGAAGAAATAATGCTGATTGTACAAAACACATTACATGTACTCTAGTGTAGTTTCTAAATATACTACTGAGATATGTTGCAGTAACACACACCTAATGACAAGATAAAAAGGCCAAAGTTTTTAACATACTCAAGGTTGGAAAACCAAACCATTTCAACTGTGCCAAACAGTTTTTTACAATTTTGTAGGAGACAGCTTCTTAAATGTTGGAAATAGATATTCCATAATATTTTGATATGGTATGTTATCAAATTATTTTTACGTTCTTTATTATTTTCTTTGCTAATTTTTTATTAATTTTTATCATAGGTAAGATATCCAGACAGAATAACACTTATCCGAGGTAACCATGAAAGTCGGCAAATTACGCAAGTATACGGATTCTATGACGAATGTCTTCGAAAGTATGGGTCCATAACAGTTTGGCGTTACTGCACGGAAATCTTTGACTACCTCAGTCTGTCAGCAATAATTGATGGAAAGGTGAGTAATATGCATATATTACAAAACAGAGCGCCACCTCTAAAATTTGTAGAAGGCATTTTCTGAAGATGTGTTCATAAAAAAATCAACTTACAAGGCAGTAGTATGAAAGTTAGGAATGATTTTCTTTTATGCTTGATGTGTTATTGTACTGAGTGCTAACAGTATGTTCCCAAATACTTTCCAAATACCAAAAAAAATCTTGCAAGTGATTCAGGTCGGAATTCGAACCCACAACCTCCAGATAAGTGGCCTGGTGTCTTAACCACTAGACCACCGTCATCTGATCACCAAATAGGGGCAGGTACTGTAATACTATTCGAAATTGAAGGGAAAGAAAATAGGGTACAGCTAAGACTATAGTCCTGCAACTTCTCTGAAATATACAATACAGTGAGGAGTTGGTGGGTGGCCAAACAGTGTCAAGATAAATAAAAAAACCATTGGTTTTGCTTCTTTCGCACTAGATTTTCTGTGTACATGGTGGCCTGTCTCCATCTATCAACACACTTGACCAAATACGTATTATTGATCGCAAACAGGAGGTGCCTCACGACGGCCCTATGTGCGACCTTTTGTGGTCCGATCCAGAGGGTGAGTAGGCAGAAAACTTAAGATATACAAAATTTAGTGAAGGCTGCATGTAGCATCAAAGTTTGCCCAACACGTAACAACCAAGTACATTAATCATATGGGGTTTCTCATTTTTCTCCTAATACCTTAAAACCTCAATTAGAAGCCAAGTGGGCTTAATCTCGAGCAGAATCCTATCTCGATAAGAAGCCCCCTCTTTAGTTTGCAAAAATAATCTTGAAAAGAAACCCATCATGAAAAGAAGCCCATGTGCTTCTAATCAAGGTAGTATTGGCTTCTTTTCAAAATATTACTTACATTCAGACTGACGTTATCTTTGATAATTATGATAGCCAGTATCAATATTATTTTATTGCACTTGCAGGATTAAAAGTAAAAAAATACAACAGAACTTCGAAATCCGTAGTTGGAATATGTCATATACCATCAATTCCAAATATATATAGCATTCATTTTGGAAGAAGCCCCCACCCCCCTTACTTTGCAAGCCTCCCTCTTTGCGAAAGTAATCTCGAAAAGAATCCCATCTGGAAGAGAAGGCCATCTCAAAAGAAGCCCATCCAATGGTCCTAAAAAAAGAAGCAGCCATAAGGGCTTCTATTGGCTTCTATTCGAGATTTTACTCATAATTAGGGGCATGCACATAAATTCGCATCAATATATCTGCATAGTTTATATTTTCTGTGTGTGAATAGTCAAAATTTATTGTTTTTGTTGATTTAGATACACAAGGTTGGGGGGTAAGTCCAAGAGGTGCTGGTTACTTATTTGGTAGCGATGTCGTTCAGCTATTTAATGAGACTAATGATGTGGAGATGATATGTCGGGCCCATCAGCTTGTTATGGAGGGGTATAAATGGCACTTTAATGAAACAGTTTTAACAGTCTGGTCAGCACCCAACTATTGCTATAGGTAAGATAATTTCCATCGCTATTTGTAATTTAGTAATTCAAAATTATATCTTTTTGGGGGGGGGGGGGGGTTTGATATCTTTTTTTTGGGGGGGGGGGGTGGTTTGATAATTATTTGAAAATTGTTGTATGTTGGAAACAATGTTGATTTTATGGTGTTGCTGATGATAATGGTGGTAGTGATAATGAAACTGTAGTGATCACAATGAGGTTAATGAAAATACTGTAATAATAATGGCCACATTCATGGTACATTCTACTATAGATTGTCTTTTGTTCTATTTCATATATATTGTTCCCTCTGTAGGTGTGGTAATGTGGCAGCCATACTGGAACTTGATGAACATTTACAGAAAGACTTCACAATATTTGAAGCAGCCCCACAGGTAATGCTTGTTCAAACATTCTCCAGAATTTAGGATGAATAAGATAGATTGTCTGCATTACTTCTTTCATAGTTAAGCCTAAAAATGTGTTTGTATTTTTTCACTAAAATAAAATAAAAATTAATTATTACCAGTACTTCATTCGTAGTTTTTATTCCCAGAGGCTCTATAATGTTAAAAGCTGTTTCTTGTGTAATTTTTGTTTAAATAGCAATAATTGTATTTCAATATGTTTTAAGTTGGATTGGGATTATATGGTGATAAAACATCTTAACCATAAAGTTACCACTGAATTTTAATCTATATTTCCACAAGGAACCAGCCATACTTTCCATCGTTTTCACAAGAGTGCAAAACATATGATTTAGTGGGGAGGGGATTGACAGTGTACCCTTTTATAAAGAAAATAAAATAAAGACCTCAAAGTACCAAAAATAATTTTATCGTGTATTCATTCAAGGGAAGGAATGGGATCACAGAAAAGAGTAAGCTGTGTTTTGTACTCAAAATGGATGGACTCCTATTTAACTAAAGCATCTCATTAATTCTGGGAAGTTTTTTCACAAGGGACCATCCATACCTTTCATCATTTTCACAAGAGTACAAACATATAGCTTAGTGGGAGGGGGTTGACAGTATAGGCATATATACTCTTTAATTTTTTAATGTTGGGCTCTTGTTTTAATGTGAAATTAAATAAATAAATAAATAATTAGAAATTTATATATGTTTCTTTCCTTAGGAGTCAAGAGGTATCCCAGCCAAAAAGCCACAACCAGATTACTTTCTGTGATGATGGTAAATGTCATCCAACTTTATTAACTCATCTTAATTACTAATCAAATACCTTTTCCCAATTACCAGGAAAATAAGCGATAACTCTTGAAAAAAACCAATCAGAACTTCCCATTCCAAACTCAACGTAGAGGTGAAATTATCTTGTGATGTAGAAGAGTAGTAATCACAACATGTTGAGAAATTTAGTTCTCAAGTGATTAAGATAATTAGTAAACGCACTCTTTTATTGGTCCTATTATTTTTTACTTCAAATCTGAATTAAAACCCTTTCAGGTATACTCTAGATTTTGACAGAAAAGATTTTTAATGATGTTTCAGAAGGTGAAGACGGGTAAATTACAAAAATTTTTAAGTACAGAATAAAATTGCCAGTGGCACATAATGTAATGTGTGCTTGTAATTCTATGCAATGGTTAAACGTCCCTTGGAATCAATTTTACCAATGTGCTTACCTGGATAAGAATGGTAGAGTCTTAAATCTTGATTTTTCTCTTCATTGATTTTGGTTGTACCATTGTAGCTTTAGGGGATATTACATCTGTTCCTTTATAAAAAAAAAAAATTATACGTTGAGTATTTCCAGATTATGAAATAGGTGCGCATTATTCCACCAATAACAAAGAATCTGATATTCATGCAGATTTGTTTTATTAGAATTGAAATTGATGGCAGAAACATGGTGAAATTTGCACAAGATTTTAGTCCAGTTATGTTTTTTTTAGTGAACATGTTTTATTGTGAGTGAGTATTGTTTTTTTTTATATATGTATATGTGTATGATTGAAGGTTTTATGGTGAGTCAGCAGGTTTTGCCAAAGATTTCTCACTGGCTCCAATTGGTCGGAAGGGCCTCAGTGTGTATTAGAAGGAAAGATTGACCATGAATATTATTAGTAACATAATTTGTTGTAAGAACTCAAAATATTGGACTAACCAAACAAAGAAGTCTGGTGATATAAAATTCATGGTAATGGGTGTTTCAATATAGGTACATTATATTCATATAACCTTTGTGCATTGGTTTTCAGTTTGTCATACAAGATTACAACCGTTTGATCTTAATAAAGAGAGATGTGAATTGATGGGAGGGGGTGGGGAGCGATGATATGGAAATGGAGCTGAGAGAAATGGATATTGGAGGGTAGTGATGGTGGAAAATGGATGAGAGGTGACAAGTTAAGCACAGCAGTCACTGTATATCATTACTGCATTTTTAAACCTTGTCCAGCTGTTTTTGTCAAAGAAATTTGATAGTGTGGACAAAACTTTAGTTTTCTTCTTGTACATTGATTTTTCTTGTTTACATTTACCACCTCTATAGGATTCTGTAGCAGCAGTTTTACTTTTGAAATGCAAGGAAAGGCGCTGTATAAATTACTATTACTTTAATATTTTAATACTTCAGATCATATGAAATGCCTGAATATATAGTGGGCTCAAAAGTATGCAGGCTGTATAGGGCTTCATCTTTATCATCATTATTGCCAATTACTGCATCTTATGATTATCTTAATCATTTATCACTGTTATCATCATTACCATTATCACTATTATTATCAAAATCATATCACAATTGCCAAAAGCATCACTGTCCTTATCATCATCCATCATCACTTTGACATCATCATTGACATCATTATCATCATGATAACATCATCAACAATGACAACAATATCATCATTATCATCAGCAACAGCACGATCGCCATCATTATCAGCATCAACATAACAACAAAATCATCATTATCAACTTCTTCATCATTTTAAAACTCTCAAAAATGTCCCATATTATTGGATACTGGCTACTACCTTTAGAACATAAGTTTGATCCTATCATTTCCATTACTGGTATTTCATAATTTTAAAATAAAGAAAATCCTTATTATGTTACTGGAATATTGATCATCATAGGTCATATGTAACCATGCATTTGATTGCGAGATAAAGACAAAAGAACAGCATATTTGTCGGTTTTATGTTTTGTTAGTTTTAAATATAGAGTCTAATCCTTAATATTCACTCTTAAATTCATTTCATTTTTTTGGCTTTTCAAAGTGTCAGAAATCAACTTTTACCTTTGTCACTGAAATTGATGGTGGAAACTGAGAGCAAAATGTTCAGTGTGATGGATTCGTTCAAAGTGAATGTCAAAAGTTTAACAGACTTTATTTTAATTAATTACTTCAGCTATTATTCCCTGTCCACACTGTTGCATTTTACATGGCAATGTTGTGTGATGTGCCCATATATAGACATGATGATTTTATACTACATCCAAAGATGGGTATATCACATTTATTTGTCACATCAAATTTGATGGGGTTGACAAAGCTTGTAGTTTCTGTGATTCATCATGAAGTGTGTTTTTTGTTTTTGTTAGTCATAATCAAGTGGATTTGAACCTACAATCCATAAAAATTAATATGGTTGATTAAAGAAACATACAATTGCCACTTTCTCTAATTATGTGCATGTTGGCATTTGTCTTAAAATTGAATATTCTTTTGTATCTTATAATACAGCGTTTGTGTTGTCAGTTTTGAATAGTGATTGGAATTGGAAGCAGTAAAGATAAGGGTGCAACAATTGTATGTTATGAAATCATGAATAAGAGACGTTGATTGTGATATTGTAAGCAATGTGAATATGTTATGGCGATTTATTCTATTTTAAGAATCTAAAATTAGTAAATTTTATTCCGTAAGCTTGCATGGCACAACTCGGCTACACACACTACTGCACTCAAAATTTTCAGTGCAAATTCAGCTTTTTGAAAATCACTGAAAAATTGTTTACACATGAGCAGATTTTGCTGAGCTTTTTCCACAATAGGTTGGTACTTAACATAATTTGTATGTAGTTAACTTCACCTGAGTACAATCACATTTGCTTGTGTGCATTTGGTTTCTAAATATACTTGGTAAGTTTACCTTTAACAATTAAACTCTGTATAATCCTCCTTATCTCACAATTTACAATTTAACAATATTGATATTTGTAAAAAAAAATCTTTAAAATAGTGAATTTTCATCAGTTTATTTATTTGTACGCTAGATTTTGACCCCTTCTAAAAACTGATAAATGCGATAAGCTTTGAAGATACTTGAATGCCAAAGATTGGGAAAATTTGTAGAATGATTTCAATATCTCCCCTACCATTAGTAATGTTGTTGAAATTTAAAATTTGTATATCACTTCAATAATTATGATCCAGATCATATAAACTGCAGATTAACCCTGTCTTTAAATTAATTGCAAAAAATTATTTAATTTACTTGATATTAATTCAGATCATTGAAATTTCAGCACATTTATATATTCTTAAATAAATTGTTTGCATTAAATTCATTATTCATATTAAATTTATAAACTGAAACTAGTAATTTATTTCTCAGTTAAACCAAAATTAATAATTTGCAGAGAACTTTTCATTGGCTAGTAAATAAATTTAACATTTTTTTTCCATTATTACTCTTAAGTCAACCTGTTAAATCAGTATTTTTTTTCTGTTTTAGTAAAAACAGGTTAGTATATAATCTTTTAATGAGCAGTTTATTGTTTTAACTGAATGTTCCTAAGTGTTTTTTTCGTAGATGTAATCACAGTATCTCTGTAAATTGTGCACTTAATTTAAACATTTAAAAATAAAACTACTGTGCCATTTCCTTACAGTAATGAGATATTTTTAACTGGACATCACCACAATTTGTGTGTGCGTTCGGTTTTCCTCAATAAGATACCAATATTTGTCAACTTTATCTGGGCTTCAAGAAATTGATTTGACAGATGTAGAGGTTTAATGTCACTGATATATATTTAAGTATGCAAGTTAGACCAAATCAAAGCCTAATGCGATTAAATTTGTGGTAAAGCTCTTGTAGTGTACACAATGATCAAGTGTATAACGCCTGCTATATATAACATTATATTGTATTTCATGCACAGTGTTCTATTGTCAGTTTTAAAAATATTGTGTCTACTTAAGTTTAAATCAGAAATATATTTCTAAAGATTTGAAATTACCATTTTATTTGTATATTAATTTAAATGTTTGTTGATTCTTTTTTATTGCAGCATTTCTAGTTTCATGCACAATATAAAAATAACAATTACTTGTATTGTCCACTTTGAATTATCTATGAGTTAGTGTTTATTATAATTGATAGATCTGCTAAGGTCATGTATTGCAAACATCGGTCAGGTTTAAAATGCCTTCAATCTATTTTATTGTTGTAAAGTGCCCCAAGTTAGTTTACATTTGCACATTACCAAATGCTTTGTTATTTTGTATCAGGCAATATACTTTTTTCAATAGCATCTTCAAAATAGTCAATCATTTGAACACCTTAAAATTTATATGCATCCCAATTTGAAATATTCCATTTTCTCTATTTAAGAAATATTTTCTCATTTCCCATAATGTTGGTATTATATTTGTGAAAGGCACAGTAGATAAATACAGATAAAGGGTCAATTGTTGAATGTAACATTAATAAGATCGACCAATTATTACATACAGTAATTAATGTATAAGAGTTTACAAATTTATGAGTGCTTGCTCTGTTAGAAATTGAAATTCAGGTGGTAGGAGTCTGACTTATGGACATTTGCTTCTGAAGCTCAACGTTTTATCTGTGTCTGTTGATAAATTATTGTTTAGTTTTGTCCATTTTTGTAAGAAAAATGATAAATTGATATGAAAAACATACAGTGTTTTGTGTTATTAGCTTGTCACTGTCAAAAGTGGTTCCAGACTTTTGTATTAGGTTACGAGCAAGTTTACAAAAAAAAAAAAAAAATTGTCAATTCATATGTGCTAATTTTTGCAGTTGATGTAAAATTTTTAACAGACCGGACAACTTGAAAACACTGTTTTAGGTGAACCCCCATGATCGAACAATATTTTATATAGGCCTATATTTCACTGTTTAAAATATGTAAAATTATAGGCATAAACTTAAAACAGAACCATATTTTAGAGATTTTGGGTCAGTCAGCCTTGGGCTACACAAGTCTTGTGTATTTCATTTTGTCTCAAATATTAAAAGTCTCATTTGCCCACTCTGACGAAAATTTATAGGGATGACAACCCGTTGGCAGATTCAAAGAGGAGGTGGAAGCTGGCCCGGGCCCCCATAATTTTTTTTCAAAATAACAAATAATGAAGAAAAAAAATTGACATTTCCAGCTGTCCAGACGTGGCATAAAGCTAGACCCTCTCCTCTCGAATCCCTGGATCTGCCAAAAATCGATGTACTGTAATACCAATGTTGAGTACTGTAATAATTTGTAAAAGAAATATCAAATGCTGGTATCTTATAAAAGTCGCTGTGCAGTTTACAATCAAACTATTACATGGGTCACTGCTAGTGTGGGTCTCGGAGAGGAAAAAAATGGAAAGCGAAGGTTGTAGATGATGATCAGGCGCAGATTCAGAGCTTCGCGCAGTTTGCGGAGTTTGTAGATGATGATCAGGCGCGGAGGATACAGACTTTCGCCATAGCGAAGGTCTGAGTGAGAGAGAAAATATTTTTTTAAATATAAAATGATTGCAATGTCTGGTGGTTTGGCGTATTCCAACTCTTTTCTGTCAAAAATGCCACCTACCTCAACCAAAGACAAAAATATAGACAAAATAAATGCAATGCTTTTTTGCATTGTCAAAGTAGGCTTATTAGTTAAAAAGAGACTAATTAAATCGGCTGATCGATGTACTATGATAACGTACTCTGTTGATCACAGGGAGGATATACATGTGTGTTGATTCTTATAACTTTATTGAAAGGCATATATCATTTTTTTTTAAATTATATTTTGTTATTTCAAAATCACACTAAAGCGAAAACTATTATTTTAATTATTGCTTTTTATTTAATGAATTATTTCATTATTTTAACGAATGCTATGAAAAAAAAGGTCTTTGTTGGAGTGGGTGCCTAATTGTTGATCTAGAGCTTAAAACTTACCAAAACACTGCATTTTTTGATACATCTGAAAAGAAAGTAAAAATGACCACCGAGCACTTAGAGACTGAAAATGAATAAGGTGTCAGAAAAACAGCAGCATGAATGGTATGTGAATTTTAAATCAAACAGCGTTGGAAATGGAAAACAAATTAAAGAAAAATACTGAGAAATTAATAAGATACATATAATCCCATATACTGTAATACTTTATTAATTGGCAAAAGTCAAATGTAAAGTTTCCGGGCCCGTGGGTGGGGTGGGGTAGTGCGATGGGTGCCTAGGCACCCAACCAAATTTTGTAAGGTCCACGTTTCCATGACGGTCGAGAATGTACTGAATATATAGGCCTATTTGTGATTTTCTGTGATTTAAAATTTTGCATTTTAACCAGTAATCCACTAAGTCTGTCGTGATTTGGAAAAACGCAATTTATTCATTTTTTTTTTTTTTTTTAATTTGGTTTAGGGGTACCCTGTGGATGTAATCTATCATGAAAAGTGACCATATATTCCAAAAAAAGTCTGAATTCTCTGTACTATATTATGCTAAATATTTAAAAAAATATACTTCCTTATGTTGTGGTCATATCAGACTGTAATATGATTAAAGAAGACCATTCAATATTATTAACTAAGATTATTAGGTTAAACTTTCCACGTCGGTGCGTGCATAAAACGTAATTTCTTGGAAATTGGATCGAACATTTTGATAAACAATTAGAATGTAATGTACTATTTATTATGTTAACTATTTGAAGAATGGACTTCCTTATGAGTTAGGCCTAAGGATATATAAATTTATAATGGGCCTGAAGCTACGTGATGTTCTGTTTAAAAGTTAAAGGGTGGAATTCCTTATGTTCTGGTATTGAAATATCATTAAAGAGCATTCAACAATCAACATCAACATTTTAGGCTAAACTTTCCACTTCGGTGCATGAATATAACCTGGGGCAGTTGCAGGGAGGGTGTAGGCGGTGTGATCGCACCCCCTAAATTGCATTAAGAAACATAATTGTTGTGTTGTATTGTTGATATCATTACCGGTAAGATTATTAAAGTATGAGAGTGCAATTTCCTGGCACATAGAGGTCCATATTCCCAAAATGTTTTCACGTCAGCCCCAACCGTCCGCAGCTAATCCAGTGGGGAACACGAGGCCCCCACCCCCCGTCAGTCCAGCTGAAAAATAAGAAAGGCAGAAAAAATTTAGGTAAAGAGAGGAAAGAGAAAAAAAGGAAGTGCACCCACGAATTCAGTGGCGGATCCAGCAATGGGCGAAATTAGAGCTCGATTATTTTACCACTTATTTTGAATTTTCTATTGATTTACGACGAACACAACGCTATATATCCCTGACGCCGATTTTTTTTTTTACCAACGACTTCATAAATCACGATGTAAAGAAGGCAAAAAGACGGGACGGAGACCTAAGACGGTTTTTTATTTTATTGTTAATTACGGAATGAAGTACTAGGCCTAGCTAGAACAGCTATCAATGCACCATGCTTGAAAATGTCTTTTCAAATTAGAGCTTTTTTCCTATTTGTTCTCTTATATAGGCCTAAATCTTTAATAATATAATGCATGTGAAGTAAGTGGTTGATCCGGGCACTACACCTCTCATGAAACTTCCTCTCGGGCTGTGGGTTCAGGCTTAGAGCTTTGCGACTCCTAGCATAGAAACAGACTATAGGTCATTGATTAGACTTATTTATTTATGTATTTATTCATTCAGAAGTAATTATAAGTAAAATACATTCAAGGATAAAAACACAGAAAAGGACAAAAAAGCAACTTATTTCCACTGTGGTCCCTAAGAATACTTAAATTACAGAATAATACATAATCAAAACAACAAAGTCAAATTCAATAATCAAAAAAAGACATCATATATATAAAGCTATGTATAATAGCTTATATAATCGCGACACCGTGAGGAGAGGGTGTCTAGGTAGAGGTCATCGGGAAAAGTCAATAATTATGTTGAGGAAAACTGCTCTGAAAATTTTTTACCGTCTGAGAGTGCCATTTTTGAGCGCTAAGAGCGGTGCCTATTCTTAAACTCACTTCAGCCCCAACTATGGTGGGGCTGCAGAGGTCAGGTGCGGATTTAGAGGGGGGCTAAACAGGCTTTAGCCCCCACCGCCTAAAATTTCATAGCCATTTCTTTTTAACTGCTTCTTGAAGGTCCAAATTAAAATATTGTTTAATGTTTTCTTCACACACATCATATTTATGGGCTAAACATTTTACAGTAGTTGTTTTTCAGTGATAAAATAAAAATGAAATACGTTTTTTAACCGATCAGCGGACAAAAAACGTAGCTAAGAAAGCTGCTTTTGCCTTGCCTTCATGCTCAAATCTCGAAGCAAAGGCCGTTGTGTAGCGGTCTCAACGTTTGTATACGGTAGTACATGGGTGAATATCGATTTAACGCTCTGATATTATTGTACATTCACAGAGACATAGAGCTAGACATAGATGAAATCATTGATAATTATGCTCGTAGGCACCCACGGAGGCTTTGCCTGATAAACCCATTGTCTTAGATGAATGTTTTATTTATTTATTAATGGTGTCTACTATTTCTTCAAATATTAAAACCTACATTGTACAATTATATTATTCTATTCCTCCCAAACTATTATTAAATAATTATGTATATAATATAATATGATAT